ATGTTAACAAATTTAATAACCAATTATTAAAAAAATTCACTTTATGGACAACCATATAAAACGAAGTCAAACGAATACTAAACTTTGATGAAAAAATAGTTTTCGAGCAATTTTTTTTTTTTTTTAACTTTTTGGCAATTTTAACAAATTTCAAAACCAATTGTAAAAAAAAAAAAAATCATTTTAATGGACAATTTCCATGCAAAACAAAGTCAAATACAAAATTTTAAAATTTTTCGGGTGGAAAATTATACCAATCAAACACATTTAATTAACAATTCCTTGCAAAATAAATTTTAGGCAATTATTTTCACTGAAAATCATTTTCTTTCCACCCTTACAATCAAACGGGCCCTTATTCTTTTACATCTTAGTTGTATAGGGTTATATCATATGCAATGTGGTAATTTAAGTATGTGGGCCGAAACCCCAATTAGAGTTTAAGTCATTAATGGGAGACCTCAATAAGTTTCTATATAATAGGCTAAGTCTCATCTCCTCTCCATTTGTTTAATTGGCTTGCCCCATTGATGGCTAATACTTTTGTGATGAGCAAAAAAATGAAGATCTAACGACTATTCCGATTACCGTTCTGCCGCTGCTTAATTCCCCGCAACTGCTCCGATTCCGGCAATCGTTAGGTCACAATTATATGCAATTTGGTCACATGTATCTAATTAATTAGTTAAAAATTAATTTTCAGTCACAACTTATCAAATTATTGGTCACAAATATTTTCTTGATCATAATCAAAAAATTTATAAGTCGCAGACTTTTTCTCTATCACGAATCAAAATTTTATAGGTCACATATTATTTCATCGGTCACAATTCGAAAATCTTATAGGTCACAACCCATTTATTCATTACAAATTCTAGATCACAACTATCAAATTATTGGTAACAACTTCTTTTTTGATCGCAAATCAAGAATTTTATAGTCATGTGTTATTTCTCACCAAAAAATTTTTATAGGTCACAGATTGAAAAAATTAAAACTTTTATTGTTCACAACTCGATTACAGTAAGTCACAATCATAATTTTTAGGTCACATTATTTATTTGTAAAAAATTAACCAATTATTGGTCATGGTCAACTAAATAATTGGTTACAGACACCCATCGCATCTCATCTCATCTCATCCCACCCACGACCACCCCCATTGCCACATCCACAACACTACACACAGCACACAACAAAAATCATAGTCACAAAATAACCACGACCACCAATAATCACAGTCACCCGCACAAAATAATCACAGTCACCTCCAACCCCATCTCGTCGGCACGCTCGCATAGCAAAAACCCTACACCCACCGCTGCAAGCATGCACAAAATAACCACGACCACCAACAATCACAGTCACCAATAACCACGCACAAAATAATCAGTCACCTCCAACCGCATCTCGCCGGCACGCGTGGCACCCACCGCCGCACGCAACAACCGACAACCTCACGGCAAATCCACCACAGCATCCTCCCAACACCACAACCTCACGGCAAATCCAACACCGCAACCACTGTCAACTGCACACACAGCAAAACCCCAACACCCACCTCCGCATGTACGCACGCACAAAATAACCACGACTACCACCGCCACACGCACCCACACACACACACCCCACCGCATCACCATCGCACCAGAACTACTTGTCTGCACCGAGACCACATTCCCTATCCACCAAACAAAAAAAAATGGGGAAGATGAAGGGAGGCCGAGAGAGAGGGTTCACCATCGGCTACAGCAACATCTAGCAACGTCGATCTCAAAGTGCCACCGGTCGTTTTGGATTATCGACATCGAAGGCATGGGAGTGGATGCCACCGCGTTGGAGTTCAGGCATCGAAAACGGCTATAGGGTTCACCATCGGCTGCAGGGACTTCGAGTGACGCCGATCTCGAGGTGCCACCTATTGTTAGGTGCCGTGAGCTAAGGGAATGGAGTAGAGAGAGAAATTAGGTTATTATTTAGGGATTTAATATAATACTTGATTTTTGAATAAATAAAGTTAAGACCTGATTTTTAAAAATTAATCTTTAAACACCTGAATTTATGTAATTACCACATAAATTTCTATATAATAGGCAAAATCCCCTCCTCTCCATATGTTTTATTGATTTGTTCCATTGACGAATAATACTTTTGTGAGAAACAAGGAGAGGAAGATCTAGCTACTAATATTTGCTTCAAGATTCTTGAACTATGAATTTAGAATTGTGATTCTTGTTTCTTGGCAAGATAATTATTATATTCAACACTTCATTTCTATCCTTTTTTCATGCGTGTTTTGTTCTTAATTATGGTGATTTATTTAGGAGTTAATTAATTAAGTTTAATGCAGGAAACTGGTTCCATTTAAAACACTACCATAAAATCAACTTTTGATTTAATTGGTAGCAACGATCCCACAAAGATAAAATATTCACTCCATCCCACAAAGATATACTTGTTTTTAATTTTACATAGATTAAGAAAATGTAATTAAAATAATTGAAAAAATACACAAAAAATTCTCCATCAATTCAGTCAACTTTTATGTAACTATCAATTGTACACTTGGAAGTTATAGTCTCACTGTCTATTCGATATCTTTCACGGCATCCTGCATCACAAGCGATAACAGATATCACACGACAAACTAAAAAAAGGGGAGAGAAAATATCAGCAAGACTAGGTCGCGCTACCTTAGCTAGGCGTGTCACATAAGTTGCGGCCACAGCAGTTACAAGTAGTCCGATTCCAAGGGTAAATAACTGACTGTTTCCTCCGAATAACCCAATATCAGATTCTTCTTGCTGGAGAGACGCAACAATAAGAAGAAAAAGAATATAAAAGCTCGTGGTTAGCCAAATATAGAAAAGGGAACTATGTTTCCTGCCTGACAAATATCATCCTACAGAACAACCACCATGGAGGACATTCCACAATATTAGCTTATTCGACCTAACTTCATGTTAATTCTAGTAAGTTTTTCTTCATTAACGACTTGCAGAACCAACAAATTTGGTTCATTAAGTTGATTTGTATTCAATTGCTTCGAAGTTTATCTGCATGAAAAGTACCTGATGTCACAGAAATTTGCTAGTCTACTGTCCATTTCCTTGGGATAGAAATGATTTCCTACCCATGGAGGGTAGGATAAAACATGCCCAAACTGATGTGGCAACAATTTTTGACAATTCAACGTTGAATTGTCAAAAATTTTAGGCCCACGTCAACAATGAGCAAGATAACTCCCACCTACCATGGGTAGGAGATCATTTATGTTCCTTGGGATATCTGGATCAAACTTCTGCAACGTTGTACTTTGTGTTCTCTTAATTGCTTATAATTTTTCATTTCCTTCATTCTACTCAATATCTTGAAGCTTTCTACAACTGCCCCTCAACTATAAATTCGGGTGTGTCTCTAGTTCAATTGCTATCCTGAAATTTAAAGAAATTTGTTCATAGATTCTTATATGCCAAACAATCATTTATATAGCTACAGTGCTTGTATTCAAGAAAAGAATGGAAGTCATTTGAAGTCTTTCTATATGCCACGCATTGCACCTAAGTACTCACCAAAGAATCCAACATGATCACACTAAGAGCATGTTTGGCTAAACTT